TGTCACGATCGGCCAAATCGGCCCAAATTTCGCCCCCCCCCCTTTTTGGACATCTCTGGATCCGCCCCTGACCTCCCCTAAGTAAAAATGTCAGGGGTGGATCCAGTAGGGGAAACGGGGGATACGTCCCCCCTCCCCGTTTTGCCACTAAATTTTAAAATTTCAAGGCATATTGAAATTAGCGCTCTCACTTATCTATTCTGAATATGTTGAAAAATTCTGGATCCCTGCCCCTGACTGAGTGTGTAGTTAAATTACAAAAGGATTCTTACAAAAATGCAATGAATTTCACAATTTACGAAAACACTACAATTAAAAAACCAAAACTTTCCTTTGGGTTGTATTGTAAGATATAAAAGAAGGGCTTATTCCATCTCTTCCAAGTCCCTAGCTAGGCTAGGCCTATATATACATACTCTCTCTACCCACAGACCCAGGTGGAAGCTGAGTGGTCCTGTCTTACCAGCTATAAGAAGGAGGTCTACCCCACCAACTTCCTACCACAGGCAAAGCCATGCGTAGGCCTTCCATGTGTTTGGATGGAGGAAAGTAGGTGGCTATCATCTTTGCTTTCTTGGATTATTGAGGTTGAGGTGTTGCCTGGCCTGGCAGCATGATACCATGTTGAGAAACAAGCCCGAATTTCAAAGAAAATTGAAAAATGACCTAGTTTCGGGAGATACTGTAAATAATCAGTTGTCACTGCTGTCAACGATCGACTCAGCAAAGACTCAGCTATCAGTTTTATATACCACGTGACTCAAAAGTTTTACTACTTGGGTAGTGGAATGCAACTTTACACTGGATTAGATATCTCGAATGTTTTAAGCAATAGGCATGTAGCATCAATTGAACAACAGTAACATAATAATGATAATGAGGTACAATAAAATGATTCTGATAAAAAAGAAAATTAATTATTATTACTGTAAAGCCTTATATTACATCCGAGTTCCAACTCTCCAAATTGTGTTTCTTAGTTTTTGTCCATGTATTCATGATACAGTAGTAATAGGCCACTTTTTTGGTTTTCTTGTTTTGTTTTGTTTGTTTGTTTGTTTTTAGAACCAGTAACATTTCCCTGGCTCAGTGTTCGTTCTTTGCCAGTTGCAGGGTCAAGATGTTCTAATTTTGTTCTTATTTTACACACTTTTCAAAGATAGGAAATTATTATTGTACCAGCAGTATATCACTGCAGCCTACTGAGAGGACGTCTCACATACTGCAACGGTACAGATAAATTAATTTTACAGTATAGGGGCCTAACCTTTTTAAAACTTAATAATTTACCGTATGTGACTAGCTTGATTTGTTGGTTTTTCTATATATATTTAAATAAAAACCTCATTTGCCTTTACCTCAGCCTCAATTTGTTTATATTTTGTTTTTAGCAATTTCAGCCTCGGTGTTTCAAAGGAGGATTCAAGGGGTAGGGTGGGGCAAACGGCCCGAGCTCCCCCTTAATTTATGCTTAATAAATGGAGAAGAAGCGAAAATTTTAACCAAATGTCTGAGAGTGCCATTTCATGCCATCTAGTGGTGCCATAATCAAAGAATTGTTTACCTCATCCCCAACATGGTGGGGCTGAGGTGGTGTAGACTCTCCCCCCCCCAACCCCCGGGCCCACTCTATTTCAAGTTCCTGGATCCACCACTGAGCATACTTTCTTGATTTTCTCAAAAATTACTACCCCCCGTATGCCCTCTCTTCTCCATATCCCACTGCGATGCGCACTTGACGCCATTCCCAGTTCTTAAAGACTTTTAACTTTCACCCTCATATCGTTTTGAGTGGCGCCGCCGCCTGTACTCTTCACCTTTTAACTTTAAAACTGACGACCCAAACATATTTTCCTGGATAATTAAAGCTCATTCTCATTACGGAGGTATCATAGATCATTAACTTACCTCGTTCCAAATCAATTCAGCCGAAGTGTTTATTTGAACACACGATTTTTGAATATTACCTGCAAGATAATTCATACACACTTGCTAAAACATTCGTTAACAACGTTGTGGCCGATAATAAGTTGATGACCATTCACGTACTTATAAATACCAAAACGTCATAAACAAGGTATAGGCATATACGTGGTCTTTACCTATAAACGTAGGCCTATGTAAGGTAATTTTAACTTTTGAAACGTTCTCACCTCTGAAAGAAAATATCACTTGGCGATCTCTCGATATTTTACCAAATCCTACCAATGATTTTAGCTTAATCTTCAGAGACATTGTCGTTTCGTTATTAACTCAATAACTTGATTTAGCACAAATAGCGGAGCCTGTCATTGCCAAAATGTCTTCCACATTATAAACACTCTCATGGAATTAAAAAAAAAAAAATCCGTGACTTTTAACTAAGTATTTTATTGGGCAAATTCACCACGGACTTACCCTCTAAACAGATTGTGCATTCGTGCATTTCCTTTATTCAATAGTATACAAAAGGTCGGTGACAATTGGACATATTTTGTCTATAGACTTTTTGCTGACGATAACAAACGGTTATTTTATTACAGTTTTGTTAGTGGCTTTCGCACTTATTCATTGGGTCATATGTTACCGTAACACTCCTTAATTATCCGTTACAGGCCTTTATATGCTTGAAGACGTGCTTTAGACACGTTTATCATTAGCAGTGGCTTCACTCTCTTTTTATATTTAGTTTTCCTTATAAATTCTAAGAATAATATTGTCTCGACCGTTTAAATTCTGGTTTCTCCAGCCAGTCTGATTTTTTTTTTAATTTTTTTTTTTTGTCTATTCAACGACGAATACAGAGACAGCATCCAGTTTCGCTTATCGCACTGTCATTTTTGAACTTACGACTTCAACTTTTTATTTTGTATAGGCCTATTTTAAGTATAAATTCTTATAGGAGCTATAATCTTAAAACTAGAACGCGAGATAGGCTCTCGTTTGATTCGGTGGCGTCACGGAGTTTTTGGGGCCTTGGCGTTGACTGTTAATGGGGGCCCTCATACATGCCAAGTTCGACAAATTTGCAGGCGTGAGAATTTTCTTCTAAAACCCCTCCTCTGGGGTAGAGGTGTCCGGGGCATCCCCGAAATGGTTTCTTCCCTAGATACCCTGAAATGCATTGTTTGCTACTTTAGGGTTGTATTTTTACAACTGAAGATCTGTTAGGAATCCACATTTTTTTTCATGAGAATGCCGTCCACGATCGAACCTATCCCACTAACATGAAACCGCACGCGTGGCAGTTGGCAGTGTGTTTCTTGATCTTATTGATGCAGCTAGTGTGATCTGATCTGATCTGATCGAAAAACTAGTAAGATAAATATCTATTTTATACTGACAATTATCAGAATTTATCAACTAAAGGATACATGAGATACCATAAAAAAATAAAAATGAAAAATTAACTGTAATTATGAGACATCAGGGAAAAAAGTATTAATATCTAAACATTTCAAGTTCGAGCCGAGCTCTTTGTTAAAGATCCATGCTGTCAATCTTTTTTTAAACTACCGTACGGTACATGTCGGGGGCCTTCGTACCTGGGGGCCCTGGCGCTCCGCCGTCCCCGTCAGCATGCATTAAGAAGTTCAATCGAACCTTTCCAATTAGAGCACTCCGAATTACAACATATGTCTATTCTATACAACCAAGTACTTTACTTTTTAAATGTATCATTTATTGGATCTAATGGTTTTATTGTCTAAACTTTCATATTCATTATTAAAAATCAACACTAACAGAGTAGACTATTCCATTTTGCTAATTAAATGAATGATGATAAATAACATAGTAGTATGTAACCTAAAGGTTTGTCGAACTAAGGCACCCAATGATTTTTGAGATAAATTTGTCATCTAAATTCTAATTTACAACCAATTCTCAATTACATGGCACCGAGGTAATAGGCTTTGTTAGTGGACGTGTCAACTGCATTGTACAGAAGAGAAACAACTTGAAAATATAATTGATTACACAAAACTGTAAATACAGCTCATTAATAAATTCAACCCTTCAGAAACAACCCTAGGCTATTTTAAATGCTCATCCTCTCGATTGCATTCTCTGCAGTATGTATAAATATACAGTACAGTATTAATGAACGCCCTCATACTGCCTTTTTAATAAGGTCTTACATATTATGTCGTGTAAGCATATATAAAATACTTTGTGTATATATATATATATATATATATATATATATATATATATATATATACGGTATATATTGACACACACACAATGCATTTTTATTGTAGCTGTTTAAGTTTGCATTTGTATTTTTCTTAAACAAAACATTTTTGAAAACATGAAATATATATATCGTTGTTTTTTCCATACTTAAAACTTACTGGATCTAATGGTTTGATTGTCTAAACTTTCATATTCATTATTAAAAATCAACACTAACAGAGTAGACTATTCCATTTTGCTAATTAAATGAATGATGATAAATAACATAGTAGTATGTAACCTAAAAGTTTGTCGAACTAAGGCACCCAATGATTTTTGAGATAAATTTGTCATCTAAATTCTAATTTACAACCAATTCTCAATTACATGGCACCGAGGTAATAGGCTTTGTTAGTGGACGAGTCAACTGCATTGTACAGAAGAGAAACAACTTGAAAATATAATTGATTACACAAAACTGTAAATACAGCTCATTATAGATTAATAAATTCAACCCTTCAGAAACAAACCTAGGCTATTTTAAATGCTCATCCTCTCGATTGCATTCTCTGCAGTATGTATAAATATACAGTACGGTACAGTATTAATGAACGCCCTCATACTGCCTTTTTAATAAGGTCTTACATATTATGTCGTGTAAGCATATATAAAATACTAAGTGTATATATATATATATATATATATATATATATGCCTAT